CGACAGCGCGACCTACAGGCCTGGCATACATTTTGCAGCATTTTCATGCATTCGTGTGGAGGATCACATTTATTTTACGTCTCCGTCTTTACGACAAACAATCTGGAAAATATTACCGTTTTGTGTTCGTTTTGACTTCGTGTGGACGGGGCCCCAGAACGATCCAGGTTGGTTGTTTTTGTCAAAAACTATTTGACCATGTGTCATTTTGTAGCAGACATGAAGAAATCATTGCTTTTCAAATGATGTTTCTTGGACATTTAAAAAGAAAGTTATTAATATTTACATTTAGAAAAATGAATTGCTGTTCCTCTTCCAGGCATGTAGGTGGCAGTAAGCTCAACATCAGAATCACAACCAGACACTTCATTTTCGTTGCTTTCTCTGTGATTTCAATCTCTTCTCTGTAGTTATTTTTATTAGCACTTTATGGCGCATACATTTTTCCCTGTAATTATGGTTGGTAGACTTACTAATAGAAAAAAGAAACAGAGGCCATGTGTAACGTAGTTTTGATACTCTAAAAATAATTGCAGAAATGAGCACAATTTCGGCACATAGTATTAGTTTAGTTGATATTTTCTTAAAAAAATGCCAGTGTCCACATTTTTAGTGTCCTTCTGGTCTCAAAGAATCAGTGTGAGTTCTGGGCTGGTTTAAAACCCGCCTGCAATGTCTTGGGTAAAAAGGGGGAGTAAGGTTTCCTCCCAGCTAAAATGACTCCCACTAATTATTACGCTGGAGCCTTAGATGAGTGAAGAACACTTGAAGCCCTTCACTCCCGTCCCTCTTCTCCCTCCTCTTTCTCCCCATGACTGCATCCTCACCCTGCTTTCTCAGCATGCTCCGGGACACACACTTATGCACAAACACACAAGTATTAACACCAAACCTTCAGCTGATACAAAGCAGGTCTTTATTCTCATGGATGTGTCTACGTTCTCTATGTTTTTGCACCTGTGTGTGCGCGCACCTGGTATTTCCTCTTTTGAGCACGTTACCAACCACAAGCCTCGCTCCTTTTGGCTCGCCATCTTTTTTTTAAAATAGTTCTTCCCCTCTCTAATGTTACTTTTTTTTTCTTTTGGACCACGAAAGACAAGCAAAACCTTTCCTCCAGATTCCAACACTCTCCATTTTGTCTTGTCAGTTTGTGTTGGATCCTCATTTCTGTATGTAACATATTATTTTATATATATCAAACCTTTTATTTCATTTGTATGTATATCATAACAACTCTTGTTTTGTTTTTTTTCTTTCTCCAACAGTTGGAATTGGCTGTCTGTGCCATTGTATTAGGCTATTACAGGTTTCCCTGTCATCCTGTCTCATTCCCTGCTAGCTAAGGGATTGCTCTAGAGAACAACCGGCTGACTTTTTAATTAATCTTTCTTTTTTTTTACTCTTTGGAAGGCTATCAAATGAGTCAAACTTTCAATTTAATGGTAAACATTAAAACACAGAATCTGCATGAAGAGATGACAAAATCTGTCTCTGTTTTAATAAAAAAGAGATTAATGAAACTTTGTGAAAACCTATCTCACAAAAAAAAAACAGTGTTTTCAAGGGGTTTGTCAAGGTCTCT